ATCTTTCCGGAACTCACAGTCTATTGGAAATAAAGTCCCTTGCATCTCAAACGTTTTCACCAAATGTTCCTGATACATAGCACTCTTCTTCCCTGCCTGAGTTCTAAAAAAAAATCAAGAAATAAAAGAATAAGATGAACGGAGATCAAATTATCATTCTTATTCCTAATGAAATTATATCCCAGAGATATAAATTACTTCTGTATTAGGTAGATAGACCTAAAGATTCAGCCACAGGTAGTCCTGGAACATCCTAGGCCTACCTATACAGGGGTCAGTGCTTATACAATTTTTAGCATGGACAAGACCTGAACCCATGCTCTCTGCAGGCAGGGCTGCTCCAAGTAGAGAGGGGAAGAGGCTGGGCCATACATGTCTTTCTTTTTCCAAACTCACTGTAGTGTGATGGGTCACTTTTGTGTGGCCTTTCTAGCCATGGTCTTGTAACTCCCACCCAAGTGATTGAGTGGGACTGTACAGATATGGTAATTGTGGCCCACCAAGGGGATTGGTCAGTTTTGCCATGCCTCTGGGCTTGAGGTGAGCCATGCTAGAGGTGGGAAAGAGAAGATCCTACCACCACCAAGGAAGAACAGCCAGGAGCCAGCACGTCCTGTAGACCCAAGATCCCCGTGCTAAGGAGCTCCTGGAACCAGGAGACAGAGAGAGAGCTGTGGCACTGCAGGCAGCAAGACCCGCAGCAAGGGACGGCGTAGTGGGGCTTCCTGGCCCACGGAGACAGAAAGCTGAGTGCCTTTAGGCAGAGGCCGTCCTGATAGAAGAACTGTATCCTGAGCGTTCCTGAGCCTGAATTGTAACTGTTACTTCCCTAATAGACCCCATAATCGTGAGTATTGTCTGTGAATTCTGTGTGGCCATTGCATTGAATTATCAAACCCAGCAGAGAAGTAGAGAGTGCTGTGGAAGGGACGGTTGGTGTCAGATTTGGTAAAGATGTCGGAGAGAGGAGGCACGTCTGACCTCTGCCTCATAGGAATTAGCCTTGGGCTGTTGATGTCGATTCTCCTCACCCCGGTGAAGTTAGAGGAGGTCAGACACCGCTCCCATGCCATTTTTACACTCACCAACCAGATTACCATAAATTATGTCTCCCCTTGGGAGAGAGACCAGGAATGTTACACTAGCAGAGCTCCCCAACATGGAAAGAAACATCAGGAGTGAAAAAGCAGCATTCCTAACAGTTCCTTCACCTCCTTGATCTAACCAAAATCTGTTCCCTGAGGACCCTCCTCTCTTTGCAGCCTATCAAGTGGGGGTTTTCTCTCCCATATTCCATCTACACTGGGCCTGGAGATCGAGTAGGGGTTCCCTTTTCTACTCATTGCCACTTCCAGGCCATTGTTTCTCCTGACTCCTTGAAAAACCCCAGCTTCTTTGAAATACATACCAAGGGACCGTACCACCCCTCTCCATGTTGCCGTCACCTTAGACCTTACGGTCTCTGTCACTTGTTGGTGATTTCAGGGCCTGTCATCATTCATTATTATTTCAGTACCCATGTAGATGACACCTTGTCCTCTTGATTCTTTATTCCTTCAGTTCCTACAATCTTGTCCTCCACCCTACTTCAGTCACCCACTCCCATATTTCCCTAGACTTATAATTGCCAATAACTGTCCCCTCTAATTTTAAGTGTGTACTTCTCTCACCACCTCCTATATTTCCTACACGGTCCCTTTAATATCCTAACTCCAGTAATTCTTCGATCCTGCAATGAGCTTCAGCCCATTTACCACTTTTTCCTTGTGCATTACCTTCATCCATTCATGTCCTCACATCCCTTCATACCTGGCTTAGATTCATTCCATGGTTCACTGTTATAATTAATCATCCCCTTGCATACACACTTAGCTGCCTTACCCCTCTCTAATGACAGAACTCCAATCTTGGTCAAATCTTTGCCTACTCCCTACTACCTGCCTACTGCTTACCTGCAACCAAACAGCTGTACATGACTAGAAAAAAATATCCCACCATGTCCTCTGCCTGTACCCTCTATCCCAATCACTCTCCCATAGAGGACTTCCCTCTGCCAATTATCCACCCTCTCCGGTGTCATTAAGCCATCTCTCCAGGATGATTCCCATATACTTGCAAATATGCAGAAATACAACCTTAGCAATCTAGTGCGCTACAACAGAAATACCACAAGTGGATGGCTTTAACAAACGGAAATTTATTCTCTCACAGTTCGGGATGCCAGCTCTAGGTGAAGGCTTTCTTTCTGTGTCAGCTCTGGGGGAAGGTCGTTGTCATCAATCTTCCCCTGGTCTAGGAGCTTCTCAGTGTAGGGACCCTGGGTCCAAAGGCCACACCCCATTCGAAGCTCTCCTTCCTTGGTGGTAGTGAGGTCCCTCTGCTCTCTGCTTGCTTCTCTCTTTTGTATCTCAAAAGAGATTGACTCAAGAGACAACCTAATCCTGTAGATTGAGTCCTGCCTCATTAACATCAGAGGTTAGGTGCAGTGTAACGAATTACTGGGTAATATGGCCCTTCTAGCCATGGTCTTTGTGACTCACACACAATAACTGAGTGGGACTATGCAAATAAGGTCTATGGAACCTGTGATGGTTGGGGTTGTGTGTCAACTTGGCTAGGTCACGATTCCCAGAATTGTGCGGTTGTCCTCTACTGTACGTGTTGTGGATCCTGACCTCTACATGTTGATGAGGCAGGATTAGTGTAGGGTGTGTCTTGGGTCCCAGCCTTACAGGAGGGCATGACTCAAGTCCCACCCTTCCTCAAGTTATGCCCTTCCCTGGGGTGTGGACTGCATCTAAGATATATGTGTGTGTCCTGGAGGGGCTCTCTCTGCATCTGAAGCCCACATCCAGTTTGTGATCAACTGACCTATGGTTCTTGGGACTTGAGCCAGAGGCCTGCTGTCTGACCTGCCGATTCTGGGATTCCCTGGCCTCCACAGCCCCACAAGCCGGCAGGCTATTGTCTGACCTGATTTACCAGCTTCTGCAGCCTTGCGAGCCAGCAGCCTGTGATCTGAACTGCCAGTTTGGGTTCGTCAGCCCCAGCAGCCATGTGGGTGGGGAGAAGCCTACGCCTGACCCACGGATCTGGGACTCACCAGCCTCCACAACTGCATGAACCATTTCCTTTACACGGTTCTTGAGTTCTGTGAGACACCGCAGTGAGTTAGGGAACCCAAAGCAGGCGGGAGAGTCCTGAGGGGAGAGGGAGTAGTTGATGTTAGAGATCAAGATGGAGTGGTACAGCAGTTTGGAAAAGTTGGACATTTGGGACATCTTTAACCTCCACCTTATATAAACCAGCTTCGTGCTGATCCTTATAAATGATTCATTTATTAGGATTTACGACACTCAGGATAAATACATCAGATCACAAAATGGAGGACAACCACACACTACTGGCCTAGCTAAGTTGACACACACTTTGGGGGGACATAATTGAATCCATAACATTCCACTCTTTGGCTTCCCAAAATTTATGTCCTTGCCACATGTGAAACACATTCACCCCACCATATTATCCCAAAAGTCTTAAATCAACTCCAAGTGCAAATTCCATCCAGGGGCAAAATTCCTCTTCATCGTTTCCAAAATACAATGGTGGAACAGGCACAAGGTAGACATTTCCATTCCAAAGGGAGAAATTGGAGGGAAAGAAGGGATAACAGTCACCAAGGAGTCAGCAGAACACATTACATTAGCTCTCAAGGCTTGAAAATAATTTTCTGAGACCATCTAGGCAATGGCCTTGCCCTCCAGACTCGGGGTGTTGGCCACACTCTCTGGATTCTGGGTGGAGGCCCCTCAGTCCTGGGCTTCAACTCTGCCTTCCAGGCCCACTGGGACAACTCTGCTCCTATGGATTTGGGTGGCCCCATTCTCCATCTGAGTGGTGATCCCACTCCCTCGACCCTGGCAGGCCCTGTTCTTCTGCCCCTTGGGCATGGCAGCCCTGCCTCCTCAGCTTTGGGCAGCAGATCTGGCCTCATCCCCCTGCCACTGGGGAACAGCAGCCCCACACTCTGGAACCGAGTTGGTAAATATCTGACTCTTTGAAACCTAGGAGGCTGTGGTCCCACCCTTTGAGACCCCAGAGGTAGGGACTCTACCCTTTGTGACTGAGGCAGCTCTGCTTCCTATTTCCTTGGCTTCTCAGCCCCTGGGGCTAGCCGGGTCGGGTGAGTGTTACAGAGCTCTTTAGCTCTACTGATAAGTGCCTGGAGGCACTCAACTCCGCCAGTAAACCTCAGCCGGAAGGCACTCAGCTCTCACTCTGTGGGTCGGCAAACCTAGCTCCATAGGTAAGTGCCCAAAGGCACCCCACCCCAGCAGGAAGCCTCCTGCCCAAAGGCTCTCAGGTCTCTTGCTCCATGGTTCGGCTCCCACGCCATCTCATGCCAGTTTCCTGGTTCTGCTGCTGCCATTTCTCTGCTGCTGCTTCTTGCCGTCTGCGTGGGCTCTGGTGTTACAGCTCTCCTCACTTCCTTCCCTCACCAGAATTGTCTTCAATATCCATAATTCCACCAACAGTCTCGTCAAGGCAATCTTCCAGCCTGTACCCATTACTCAATTCCAAAACCACTCCCACACTGTAGCTATCTGTTAGAGCAGCACCCACTCCTGGTACCAAAATTCCGTCTTACTTATCTATCTAGTGCTGCTATAACAGAAATACCACAAGTGGATGGCTTTAACAAAGAGAAATGTGTCCTCTAACAGTTTAGGCAGCTAGAAGTCTAAATTCAGGGAGCCAGCTCTAGGGGAAGTCTTTCTCTCTGTTCGCTCTGGAGGAAGACTGATGACAAGGATCTTCCCCCAGAGCCGACAGAGAAAGCCTTTCCCAGAGATGGCGCCCTGAATTCGGGCTTCTAACCTCCTAAACTGTAAGAGAATCAATTTTTGTTTGTTAAAGCCATCCACTTGTAGTATTTGTTATAGCAGCACTAGATAACCAAGACATAGCCTTATATTTTAAAGAAATTTCTGGATATTCTTCCACATTTGCTTTTCACTTTGAACCTCAGAATCAGCTTATTTGTATTTAACGGGCATTACATTAAATTTATAAAGCAAGGGAGGTTTGACATCTTATGATATTATGTAGATACATGTAAGAATAGTGTGTACCTTCCATTTATTCAGGTCTTCTTTGTATTCTTAATTTTAAAATTCTTCTGATATATTTTTTTGTTACTGGGTATTTTATCTTTTTTTGTTGCTATTGAAAAAAGGATCTTCCATTATATTTTAACAGGTTGTTTACATACAGGAAGGCTACTTACTGACTTCTCTGTTAATTTGGTATGTAATTAACTTGGTTGATTTTTTTTTTCTAGTCAAGCTTTTGATTTGCTTCTCTTAAATTTTCCAGGTATAAAATCATGTAATCTACAAATAATTTCTCCTCCCTTGCAATTTTATAGCTTCTTTTTCTTGTCTAAATGCCTTTTGCTTTTCAATTATTTTCTCTATACTATAACCTTTAACTATAACAAAACATTAAATGATACTGATAAATAAGAGCACAGATTAAAAACAAGTAGAATAAATGTTAAAATACACTCCCCTTAATCATCGTAAGGTCTAAAAGATCAGTTTTCTCCCTAACTGGTAGTTTACAGTAGAGGTGAACAAGAAGAAATAATCGCATGAAAGGGCGATGGATATTTCCCCACTTCTGGTTTCTCTTTACCTGGTATATTAGTAATGAATTAAAGTCACTAAAGAGTTACAAGGAATGTGTACTTCGCATACCACAAAATTTTATTAATGTCATCTTAAGGCTAATTAAACTAATTTTATTCAAAGTAAGTCTACATTAAATTACAATATTAACAATCTCTAGACACAATGAACTTAAAATATAAGTAGAAATCTATTCAGTCTTTTATGGACCACATATTATAGAACTTAAATGAAAATTTACAAATATAGAAATAATGATACTTAAAGAGTGAAGATTTTAATATGGAAACCCTTAAGATGTCATATTTTAAACACGCATGTTTCAAAAAGGGAGAATCTTTTCATAAATTTACACAAAATCAAATTATATAAACTTGGTATATTCCAGAAAATATTGCTTTAAACACTTATACCATGATCAAAATTCCTTTGGTAGTTTTTAATCAAAATGAAACATGCTATTTTGTAAAATATAAAGAAGTACTTTTAAATGTTATCACAAAAGCATCTTTTTCATAGTTACCACAGTAACACCACTACTGAACTTTCGCTTTGCTGCTCAACCTCACTTATACATACTCAACGTGAAACCAGACACCAACAACGTCCTTTTAATCTTTCGACGAAATAACCTCTGCTTCACAATATCAAGACTTCAAAGTCTCCTACCAAACCTTTTACAGTGGTAATAGTACATAGAACAATTACTGTCCCTGTGCATACTGTAAAAAGAAAACCAACTTTATTATAGCAGTAATACAAGTATTTCAATTAAAAAAAAAAAAATCAAACAGCAGTTACCCTAATGCAAAAAACAGGCACTGCTAGACTCAATCTTAGAACGGTAAACACAAACACACTCACCTCCCAAAACCCTTAAACAGAAAATTCACAAATAACTCAGGTAAAATAAAGATATTGATGTCTCTATTAAACACATCGAACAATGTCCTCTTGGCACATCAGAGATCTCACCTGGAAACCTGATTTATAAAAAAATCAGTCATCAAAGTTTAAAATTATCTGAAAACAAATGAAACAAATAGATGCCAGTATTTAGGTTGCATAACTGGTCCGCCGTTTTTTAGCACTGGCTGTTTCTTCCTAATGTTCACCAATGAAGGGTTCCTGTTTTCCATCTAAGTGTTCATCAACTAAGATATCTTGTCTTCAGGAATACCTAAGTAGTCTTTGTAGCTAAAGAATGCAGCATTTAGGGTCTTTTTAATTGTGCATTCATGATCACACACACAAAAAAACCAAACTTTCAGCTTTTGACACAAGAGTAAGACCTTACAAAGGAACTTCTCTTAACCAATATCTTCTTGTTCAATCTCAAAATTATTTTGCACAGAGCAGCAGAAATCTTTTAAATGCCTAAAAGAACAAGAAGAACTGGAGGGGAAAAAAGATAACATATCCCATTTGAAAGTCCTTAAGCCTCTCGAAGGATGATCCCAGAATCTTTTCCTTTCCTTCTAATCCGCAAGTATCCACAGCGGGTTCAGTCACAGAAAGGCCGGGAAACAGCACAGATGTGTTTCATTGCTCTGAAGGTACATTCTAGTGTTTTACTAAAAGAAAATAGTCTGCTGACTTCGTTATGCCACGTAGTGGTACTGATTGGGATTGTCTTTATCTCTCTCCATATAGTCTCTGTCTATAAGAGATTCAATTCTCTTTTTCAAATCTCCAGGCTACAAAGGAAAAACAAAACAAAAAATCCCAATTATAGTGACTTTAAATTTAAAAATATAGGAGAATATAATACATCAAGGACAAATTACATAATTACATAAATAATTATAAAATGAATAAAATAAAACTCCCTACTTCAAAGACAAAGATTAACATTATATCTTGATCAAAAGTGTTTCCATGTGAATTTGTCAGAGCAAGGCTTCCTGCAGGAAACTAGAAATGTATGAAATGTATACACATTATTTATGATCACTAATGAGTAGTTAAGCATGGTAGATCTATCATGTAACAAATGTTTGTTTGTTTAAAAGGGTTATCTGATAATGTCTTATTGGAGCATTCAACCCTTTTAACATTTTCTCCCTAACTACATTTTATTATTATGTCAATAAACTGATATATTCACTATATATTTATATAGTATAGCCAAAATTCCATGTGTTTGCTAAAAATAGGTGACTGAATTGATGAGTCCATATATAACCATTATATGTAACTGCTTGTCTCTGCCTAGGAAGGCTACTGCCAACTTTGCTGAATTAAGAAGCAAATGTGTATACGCATTTATGAGCAAGCGTTCTCCCTGCACACACACACAGTATATAATACGCAGTCAATTTTCCAAATACTACAACCTTCTACTCTGTGACAGGTCATATATTTTATAAGATATGGGTGAAAAACCTATTACCTATAAAAGAAGAATAGGTGCCACTATTTAGTCTTTTGTTTAATTGCTTGGTGTCTTCATTTGCAAACTGGAAAAAACAACACTTGTGGCTTGTGGTAGGAAAGAGTAAGAATAACATACAAAGCAATGTCTCATACGCTGTGTAGAATCCTATGTATGGATAAACCTCCTTTGGAGGCTACAGGAGTCAAATATTTGCTAGCTTAAGAGGGCACTCCCGTCAGTCCTTTATGTTTTAGACTAATCCAGTTCCTCCTGACAATGGGCTCCGGTGGCACAGTAGTTAAGCACTAGGCTGCAAACCAAAAGGTTGGTGGTTTAAACCCACCAGCTGCTCATGGGAGAAAGATGTGGCAGTCTACTTCTGTTAAAGATTACAGCCTAGAAAACCCCATGGGGCAGTTCTACTCTGTCCTATAGGGTTGCTACGAGTCAAAATTGACTTGACGGCTAACAACAACAAAGTCCACCTCTACTTTATTCCACTGGTGAAGAGGGATGGGTCAGATATCCTTCTGCCAAATTTTACAACAATCAGTCAGAGAACTAATCAAAAAGTATATACAGCTGGTTCAACTATAGAAAGGCCAAGACTCCTGACAGTTCAGTATCTTTTAGATTGATAAATACATTTTAAAGAGCTGTTCGTAAGGCTTCCCTAAGTTTTCCTGTATGCCACGTAGTCAGGACAGCAGATCAGTCTTAGAAATACAGTATGAATTCAAAGATTTTAGGGTAGTCTTTCGTAAGCAACAGCAATGGTGAAATATTACTGAGGTAGAAAATGCTTTGTAGTTTGTAAAATGCTGAATAAATTAGTTATTATTATGATTTCTTTAAAATCCTGTGATATAACCACTTCTTCCCTTCTTGAAAATATAAGCATGGACCACATCCCTAGAAGTAGGACTTTTAGGTCTCTATCATAGCTACATTGGTGGCAGAGAATAATTTGAAATAAAGTCCCTATTATCATTACTTGGCAGTTTTTCTACACTTAGTATATTCACAAAAGTAGATTTTTTTGGCAAATGCTCACTTAGAGTGTAGGACAAATGATATGACTCTTTGAAGGTAATGAGAATTGAACATGCTTTGTCAATTTTTAATACTATACTATACACTTAATGAAGCTAATACTCCATTTACCTTTACTGGAAATTTCAGCTGATTATACAGTTCAGAAACCAGAAGATTATGACCAAGAGTCTTTCTCATCTTCATTATTCTTACTATAGCAGCATCAATCTGGTATTGTCTATCTTGAAACACTCTTTCCGTGGTGCTAACTTGTTCCTCAACCTGTACAAAAAAAGGAAAAAAAGCAAAGTATAAAGGTATTGTTTCAATATTATTTCATCTCACTGAGTTTTATGAGAAACTTTGTTTTGATGCAAAGAAAGGCTGAACTTTGGATGAATACTGCTTTGTTATGCATTTTTACTTTAGTAAAAACTCAGCTCTCCAAAAAGAACAAAACTCCAATACCAAAACTTGAAAAAGAATTTTTAAAAGTATATTTCCCTTATAAAAAAGCTGCAAAACCCCTATATAAGACATTAGTAAATTAAATCCAGCAGCACAGTAAACAAAACAAAGCAAAGCAAAACATAATACCTATCAGGATTTATTCCACAAATGTAAGCTCTGCGCAACATTAAAAGATCTATTAATGTAATTGAAATGATCCCAGAAACAGTTTTGTGGATAAAAATTACAGGATCTTCTACATACTGAAGTCATGATAAAATTCAAATTCTATTCTTGATTTAAAACAAACTTTAGCATACCAGGAATAATTAAAAAAAAGGAAAGAATTTGAACATGATAAACAGCAGTTATCAGAAACAATTAGCAAATACAGTTATCAATTTCATGTTAGTTAAACAGCAACCTAATGGGGCTCTACATCATGAAAAAAAATTTTCTTACAGGGGAGAGACAGGTCTGTGCATGTATCTAAGGTAAATATGTTTCAGGAAGGGAGAGGAGCCATAGCATTTATCAGATTTTCAAAGGGATGCATGATCCCAGAAAAGGTTAATATTCCTTACACTAGAGAGAAAATTAGCCAGAAAAAAGATTAGGAAGCCTAGTAGCACTGTTACTTCTTAAAAACGTTATTTTAGTGGTTACAGGATGTAAGAGAGAACAAACTAAAGAGGTATACTGAATAGGAACAAAAAAAATTATCATTATTTGCAAATGACCTGGAAAATCCAAGAAAATCAATTGAAAAAGCATCAGAGTTAATTAATGTTCTGTAAAGCAGCTAGATATAAGATAAATATACAAATAGTGTTAATATATACACACTGGCAATTACTAGCTAGCAATATAAAGAAAAAAGATCCGTTTTATAGGGTATCAGTATTTCATTGGCCCTTCTTGTTTAAAATTCTTTTAGGGCTTTCCCAAATCATTAATAAGCTTGACTGGTCTCTATATGATCTGGCTATCACCTGCCTATTCAATCTGGCTAAGCTTTCCCCTTTCGTGGCTAAACTGTAGCCACAGGCCTTCTTTTAGTTACTGAAAATGCTAAACTCATTTCTTCAGGAAAGCCTGCCCTGATCCACAGTATTAGGTTAGGCTTTCCTGTACTTTTCCATCATAACATTTACTTCAACTGTAACAAGTTAGTCAATGTGTTATCATCTGGTATCTGTCTTCTGGACAAGACTGAAAGCTCCTTCAAGATAGGGACTTATCTTTATTGTTAATGGCTGAATTTTGAGTACTTTGCAGAGGACCTGGCCCACAATAGGTACTCAATAAATATTTGCTGAATGAATGAAAATTTATAACTTGCTAGCAGTAACTATTTAATAAGAAATATGCAAGACTTATAGATTTGAATATATATATATATTTAACTGAATCAGAAGATTTAGTATGGATTTAAGATGAAAACTACAAGTTAGTTCAATGCAATCTGAATAAAAATATCAGTATTCTTATTTGTGAGGAGAAAAGACAAGACAGAATGATTCTAAAATTCACTGGTAGGACAGATTGGCAGGGACAGGTACCTCAGTTACAAGAATCTGAGTGACGGCTGTAAAATAGATCAACAGAGTGTTTAGAACAGAATTGAGAAACTGACCCATAATACACCAATTTGATAGATAAGAAAAATGGCGACTCAATTACGTTGTCAAAGGATGGTATTTTCAATTTGGTGTTAAAATGGGGAGGAGAGGTTAGATGCTTTCTGATACTAAAATAATTTCTATATTGCTCAAAGATTTAAATGTAAAAAGTACTAGACAAATAATATAGACTAGTAATTTTAAAATTTTGGGCTGTAAGAAAAGTCTTTCTTAGGTGTAACATTAAAGCCAGAAACTATATATAAAAGTATATATATATACATATAAAAGTATATATATACACATATAAAAGTATATATATATATATAAGCATATATATATATAAAACTATATATATGTATTTGCAGCAAAACATGGTTAAGTGTTTAAAAAAAAAAAAAAAAAAAGTTGCCATCAACTCAATTTTGATTCATGGCAACCCCATGTGTATCTGGGTAGAACTGTGTTCCGTAAGTTTTTTTTTTATTTAATATTTTATTTATTCTTGGTGGTAACAAAAATAACCAAACGTACATCTGTTCAGTTTCTACATGAACAGTTCAATAACCCTGGTCGGACACCTCCCATTACGTCACCAGTCTCGCTTCTCTGACCATATTGTTTCATCAACACTGATGTAGGCTCATTGCGCCTCCAAGTTCTCATCTGTGCTTTAGATAAACTGTTGTCGCCTTAAGCTTATATAGATAATTCTTGATAAGGGGGCTATGCCCAAGGCAAACATCTTTTATTAATTAGGCTAAACTGTTGTTGAGTTTAATGATAGCTTCTGGGATAGTTCTGGTTCAAGGTTTAATTATTTCTGGGAATTAGTTTCAGGGTTCCCCCAGTGTCAATGGCTCTAGTAAGTCTGGTTTCCAAAGGATTTTGAAATTCTGTTCCACACTTTTCCTCCTTTAGATCAGGATCTATGTGTTGAGTCCTTGATCAAAATGTTCTGTAACTGTATCTGGACACCATCCATTTCTTTTGGTTTATGGTAGTGGAAGTAGTAGTTTATAAGGCAATTAAACATGCAGTCCATTTAAAGACCTATATTTAAGACCTTTCATATAGGGGAGAAAAGAAAACAACTTTTCAAAATAACAAAATGGGAGACAATTATTTGCCATAAATCACAATGGGTTAATATTCTTGATGTATAAAGAAACACCTACTGATTAATGAGAAAAATAACATTCTAATAAATGTAACAATGACTTGGACAAGCAATTAAAAGAAGAGAAAATTACAAATGATTAGCCACCAAACAGCAGCAGCAACAGACTGCTTACAAGTGCTTTAACTAAGAGCTTTATAAACACTATTCACTTAATTCTCACAATCTTTGGGGCACTATTACTCCTATTTTAAAAGATGAGGAATTGAGGATTAGAGAGAGTACATAATTTTTCTAAACTAGTAACTGGCATAAAGATGATCAATCTTACTAGAAATCTAAGAAATTCAAATTAAAATGGCAATGAACTACTTCTGTACCTGTCAGAATAGTGTGGGCAAAAGCAGGTAGAGGTTGGGGGCAGGGAGGAAAGGCACACTCATGAAATTTGAGATTGTAATCTAGTAAAATCTATCAGACTTCAATTTGGCAAAGAGTGGTCAAACTAAAAAAAGTACTTTCTACTCAGCAATTCCAGAGCAAGAATTTTAAAGGAAACAGTCTAACAAGTTTGAAGTTCACAAAACTGTTTGTACCAGGATGTTTAGTGCAACTTTATTTTCAATAGTGATAAAATGGAAACAACCTAAATACTTTTCAACAAGGGCAATGAAGCCCATGATGAGTAATAAAAATAAGTTACAAACTACAGTGACCCCTTCCCTTTTTGTTAAGGTTATATATGCATGTCACATATATAACTACAAAAAAAGTGGTCAAAGTGGTTATCTTCTGGGGAAAGAGATAACAGTTTCCACTTTGGAACTGGAACTCTAAAATTTAATTACTCTAAATTCCTAACAGTAGAAAAATGAGATCAAAGGATACGAGCATTTAAATCTTAATAGAGATGTCAAGCTGTCACCAAAAAAGTTGTACTAAACAAAATTTCTTTTTAAAAATAAAGAAATAAAGAATACCTGTTTACCCACATGGTGGTCAATCCTACATATTGTCAAACTTTTTAACCTTTCCCAAATTGACAGGTAAAAAATTATTCACAAGAGCGAACATCTTTTATATATTTACCGGTCTTTTTAATCTTTCTTTCTGTAAATTGAACATATTTTCTAAGTAGGCTACATTTTAACACCTCTCTAGGTAAAAGCTGGATAAGTGAACCAATCATTGTCTACTGTTGGAGGTGGAGAAAATATTTGTTATATTACTTCCTAGCCATTACAGCTGTCTTTGCGTTGTACTTTGAACCGACCTCCCTCCTTCTCAAGGCCAGTACTCACTCCAGTCTAGATTTGATACTTGTATGTACAACATGGGGCCAATGGACACCCTTTTATAGACTGTGAATATGAGAGGGGCATCTGGGTCTCCTGGACTTTAACTTCGATGGTAGCCTAGGAGGGCAAGGATTTTCTGCATTTAAGACCTTACAGCCTAAGGTTCATAACCTATTTTGGATAAGACTCTTTGGAGAGCCTGATCAAAACTGCAGACACTATCTGTACACACAGTACTACATATACAATGTCAGTGGGCCCACCGACTCCAGAGGCCCAACCAGAGGCCCTCACAACTTCCATCCCAGAATGCCTACCTGAGGCTGAGGCTCACAGAATAGCTGAAATGTACCATTGAAAATAAAGACAAGTTCTTTCCATGCTAACAGAATTTGATATAAGAAGATCCGCCATACTGTTTTTGTGAATAGGAATGATAACCATTAAATATTTTTCAGATTTTCATTCCTACTGTGAATATAAACAGTTAGTGAAAGCTACATTAAAATGAATTCATTATGTATTCAAATTACATATGTTAGAAATATGCTTCAGACCTCTAATACTCAAGAAACTATAAAAACTAATGATTCCTTGGTAAATATCCTATAAATAAAAAGATAAAATTTATACATACAGTTTCTTTCATCTGAATTTGATTGATCTTTATTCTAAACAACTTGTGCTTGAACTCTCCATTAAAAATGAACTTGTCTCCATCTTCGACATCCTTTCCCTTCGGACTTTTAATCAGTACACGTGCTTTACCACAAGCCAAAGACTGTAACGTTCTTCGTAATTCATTATCCTCTGAACGGGGAGAAAATTACAGGGAAATGTTGGCACTGAAATGAATACGCTTAACAATAACAAATGAGAAAAAAATCATGATATAAAGTGTGACACAGCAGAGATCTAGTCTATGTCTTCTCTTAAAATGAATAAATGTTTAAAAATACTGACACTTGAAAACCACAGATTCATTTAAAGAGATTCTTCATACCTATACCAGTAGCCATTTTTATTTCTTCAAAACTGAATTCATCCCCTTCATTAAACATGAGAAGCACTAATGTCTGGAAAAGGGAAACTTGGAACTCCTTCTTTCCCTTTAAAAAAAAAAAAAAAAATTAATATATTGCTTTTGAAGCTGAGTTTATACAATCTTTGAAAAATTATGAGACGGTTTTTTTTTTTTGCTCTCAAACTTTCTGTGAAGGGAGTAAAGAATTATTAATAACCACCAAGTAAGAAATTAAGATACTGATTATGAAAGAATAAAAGGATTAGGCATTATATTTAAAACTTCTTCTCTTGAAATATTTTTACAGTAGTAAAAGTTCTTTAGTAAATACCATTGAACAAGAAAGGAATTATCCTCATTTGATGCTAGATACATATCTAATAGCTCTTTCAAATATTTTTTTATCCTACCGAAGTCCTCTTAGTGCACAGAGTATGAGAAGGCAAAGCGATAAAACATGTAAGGAAGGAAAGATGGTAAAACAAAACAAAAACCAACATCTTTATTAAATGAATAAGTACATAAATAATAGTAAAACCTTTCAGCCTAGCTCTCCTTCCATTTTTCCTGTAATATACACCACTAACACGAATGTAGCCTTATGTATTATACAATTCCCCTTTTATTCACAAAGTCTTCACTGCAGAACTTCACCGTTTATAGTTAGAACATACGTATCAAATTTAATGCATGTGAACATGCTAATTAGTTTTGCGTTTTAATGTACTAATTTCTTCCTAAAGAGAAACCAAATGCATGAAGAAATGATATACTGGGATAACGCAGCAGGACAAGGTACTTCATCTGTACCCCGGTCCTAACCTCGTAATCCATGGCCCAGAGACAGCTGCAATTCCAGCTGTGGTGTTTCCTTCTCTATGAATGGAGAGAGCTCAGTCATTGATGGTGGCAGATTATACAGAGGTTACGTTCTAAAACCAGCAAGTAGGCAAAAATTGAGGGTAACTGAAATTAAATTTCATGACACCTTGAAGTCAAATATGTGTAGTTTTATGTATATAAACTTGTGTAATATGTGTACAATAAAAATGTATGTATATAATTCATATAGCAATGCAGATGAATAAATATATAGTATCTATGTAAAATATGAATTTTATAACTGATTTTGCTTAGTGTACACAATTGAATTTTATTTAATAAATTGAAGTTAAATGAGAACGAGGGGACTCTATATTGTATACTATTCAGTAACATGTTTAATTTATCAATACATTATATGCATTCTCTCTCTTGATTCCAAATTATCACTCTTACTAATAGTACTGCAACAAATATTCTTATTTATTAATCTGTGAAAATGACTTAAGATAAGTTCCTAGAATTGGAACTACTAAGACAAAGCATGCATGATTTTAAGGGTTTTGAGATGTACTGCCAAATGCCCTTCACAAAGCTTGCCACGGTGTTTGCTTCTTTCGGCAGTGAGCAAGAGTTACTGTTTTTAAATATTTTTTAGCTTTTATCAATCTGGTAGTCAAAAAGTGGCAACTTACTGTGTTTTCATTTGCATCCTTTGATGAGCAGAGATGCTTACACATGTTTTCATGGATACTGATGTTATATGATTTTTACTGACTGAATATTAATCCCTTAACTGTTACAAACGTTGCATATATATTTTGCTAATTTGCTTACTTCTTAATTAATTTTAGAATCCAAGTATCAAACTTTAATTTCCAAGAAGGTGAGCCATTTGGAAAAACACTAAAAGGAAGGTATTTACACGAGTTTCCCCAATATCTCTAGGCAGCATTTTGTCTAATAAAAGAATAAGGGAGATTAATTTTATTGACTTAGAAAAGCCAGTGCTGAATCATACTGAACCAATCTTTTCCTTTCTTTACTACCAAAATACAATCACAATTAAAAAAAATTTAATAGCATACTTAAAAAAATGAAGGAAAAAAAAAAGAACTTACTTCTCTAAACTCTGCTTTTAAAACAGCATGCCCCAAAGTAGTTTGCCACTGAAGTTTTCGACCACTGTGCTTTCCGAGATAAAACGTCTTAAATACTTCCTGAAGTTTAATCATCTGTGAAGCATTAAAAAACCCAACAAACTTAATTATGCTAAACACTATTAATGTAAAGAATCACACATTCAATTTACAAAGCTTTAACATTTTTTTGCAGCTGAAAGAAAAGATCAGTTCTGTATTTTGACTGTTATTTTTCTGAATTCTATTACCTTTTAAAATGTCCACCATTCTAGGACACTGGGATTTTCCATTACAAATGGGATAATGCTTGAATTTCTGTTTAATAGTGAAGACAGGTCGTATTCTGCAGTTCCACATTCCCACACCTGGGCTCCCTATGGTCAGCAGTCAGTGGCATATATAACGCAGATTGTTAGCCAGCAAAATTAGTGACACTGTCCTTAGTTACAGACCATGTCTGCAGGTCCACAACAGCCTGCTTACGTAATCTTCAGATTTCACTGGATGATCTCAGTTTTTCATTCCAGCAAAGCCAGAAATGTCAATCACGCTTAGTTTACCCATCTTTCTCTCTTGCCCACGAATAGCCGTCAAGTGTTATCTATTTTACCATTAACACATTATGCCATCAATTGTAAGGCACACAGTTATTTTATAAACCATTAAGAAAACAAGGCCGTCAATGCATTCTAAAGCCAGAGATGTCCAAATGTGAAAGAAAACGGGTCTTACAATGAGTTTAGTTAATCTCTTTTAAATCTGTCCCTGCCTTTCCATCACCCTCAGTGCAGGCCACCACGCTTCCCGACTTCCTCCTGTTTGCCTCTAAAACCCTAGCTCCTTCAGTGCCCCACCCTGCTTAGTGCCTCAACTGTGACATCCCGGTTGCCATCCAGTCGATTTCGACTCGTAGC